GCTTCTTCACTGTTACCATGTAGAAGCTGCATTGCCACAACACCTTAAGACATATTGGTTGTCAGTTCAATATTTTTAACATTATAAACTTTGCTAACACAAGGCCTACTCCCGGACAGAAATTCGCCTTAAGTCGCCGCAACTCAAGGCAACTTAAGAAAAATGAGGGTAAATTGGGCGGGACACTGTGGCAGCTTAAGCCGTCTTAGGCAACTTTCTGGCCCGGAGTAGGCCTTCCACAGCAAGTACTCCAATATGAGAGCCATGACATAGAAAGCCTTGGCTTGGCTTTTCCTTGAACTTCAAAGGAGGTTACTTCAAAGTGCATACATTTCCATAAAACTTGAAAGCGTCATTTTATAGTAACTTGTTTGAAAGGTGCTTTTTGAAGGGGGAGAGGGCCACATATTTGTCTTTGAAAGGACTACTTTGTAGTGATCTAAATACATGTACTAGGCAGAGGTCTATTTGAAAGGAGGGGGGTTCACATTTGTTGGGACTTCTTATACAGGGGCGTTTTTGAAAAGAGCTCACATTTGTAATTGAGTGGGGCATCTTTTCTTACCCTGTGGTACTTTGCTCTTAGCTTGCCCTGATATTGCTTGTTGGGTTACAATCCAGATAAAACCCTTCTTTGTCATCGAAAGGGTTGAGGCATACTGATATACGACTGCTGCATCTGAGCCACTATTTGAACAATAAGAAATAGATTGTGAAATAAAGCATGTAAGAGTGATAAAGGGCTTTTTGAGCGTTCTTTAACATCCACAAGTGGGCCAATCAGAACAAGACTAATGAAGATCATAAATATGAATTTATGCAAAGGATAAAATGAATGAATGAACAAACGAACCAACAAATTAACAAGCTATTAAACTATTGGACCGACGAGCAAATCAAAGAACGAACAAACCAACGGAAAAATGTATTATTCTAAGAACTAGCGAACGAACGAGTGACTGAAAAAAAAAACGAGCGAGCGAGCAAGAGAACGAACAAATGAAAGAACGAACGAACGAAAGAACGAGCAAGCGAGAGAAAGAACAAACGAAAGAGCGAACGAACAAACGATTGAATGAATAGATGAATGGAAGGATGAGAAAAAGCACCAATACCTTGCACTGAACAATATCACTCTTGACTGAGTAGTCTGTAATTTCATAAGGTATGACGTCACATTAACTGTTCCCGTTGGAAACATGACAGTTTTTTCGATCTGTGAAAAACCGACATAAGATATAATTAGATATTAATAATCATTAATAACAGAAATAAGCTAAGATTAATATCTCTTCCCGGGAGGGAGGGGGTAAAAGTACCGGGGATGCTCGTCGGAAATTTTCTAAAAGGCCCCTAAAAGATCCCGGAAGTATAGAAAAAAGGGCGTTGCTGACTGATTTTTAACCCCTAAGAGATTGCACAACAAATATTGTTAAATTAAATCAGTTCCAATGATGAAATGTATAAAATAGAATATCGATGCGCTCTTTCTCTTCTTTTCCAACACCCTAAGAGACTGCAAAAAATGCAAATTTCCTGAAACTCAAATCGGCACCCTAAAAGATTCCCAATCACGGATTTCTACCCCTTAGAGATCCGATGAGCATCCGCGGTACTTTTAACCCTGAGTGCCCCCTCCCCCCTAGATATCTCTTATATTGAAATGTTACAATGAAACGTCAGGTACCTTGACGTCATTTTTTTCTGCCATGGTTGTAAACCGCGTGACAATAGATCGGCTGTCCTGGTCATTACTGGTCAACAGTATCACTTTGTTCCATTTAAAGTAGTTAAGTAACCCCATCCATACTTCTGYTTGTTCTGAGTAGGGAGGGACRGTACGCAGGAAATAGTCATGGATGGTCTAAAAGGAAMATTGGATGGTTAAACAAATGGATGGGAAAATCGAAAAAAATGGATAAATCAATTCGTGAATAGATGGTTGGAACTCTGTGTTTATAATGAAGGAGGGGAAAAAAAAGTCATGAGTGATAGTCTACCTAGAGCAAAAAAAAACTAGATAAAACTAGAATTAGATACATGAAAAAATTAATGGATCGGATCTACATCTACATCTACATTAAGTCGGTAATGTCTTATAATATCATACCCACTC